AGGAATGAAGGCATGTCAGCCGCACAGCCGGCAGCGGCAGCAAACAAAACACGGCGACATGCAGCGACGGTGGAAGGCACGGCACAAACTAAAAGTGTGCCGCAGTGATTTAACAAACAAACAAACAAATTAAACAACGAAAAGCTTAAAAAGTGGAAGTCCAGCAGGGTTTCTGGCAAAAAAAAAGAAATAACTTCGACAAACATTTTTCCTTCGTGTGTCCAAAAGCCCAAGAGGACCGCTTGTGTATATTTATTGCCTGCGCTGAAAAAAAGTAAAAAAGTAAAAAAAAGACCGCCGTGATCCACAAGCCCGCACATCCCTCCCACACTTCGTGCGGCATGCGGCCTGCGCTTCAACGCGTCGGCTGCGTCGTCAGTGGGGCGCACAGCAATGCGGCCGCCACCCATGACACATCGCGTACGGCAAACGGCCATTGGAGCAGAAAACAAATAAAGAAAAAAAAACGGCTGCCGATTGTCCCAGCAGGGCATCGGCAGCAAGAAAAACAAAAGCAAACACAAAAGATGTGTTAATGAAGCGAGTCGCGGTCGGTACTGCAGCACACACTTTCCAAGCGGAGTCGCAACTGCACTCTCCCTTTTACGCAGCGGAGAGGGCGGCAATGCCCCACAGCCCCAGCAGGGCCAGCAGCACTACATGAGGCACACACCCACCCACGGCGTTGTCGGCTCCCTGCGACGCCTTCTTATTGTCTCCATTAGACACCCCAACTGCGCCAGGCGGAGAAATGTCGCTTGTGTCCTTCGCGGGAGCCTGCCCGGCGTCATTGTTTGCAGCAGAGCTGCCGCCTGGGGCCACCGCCGCTTCAGGTGCAGCGGCCTCCGCTCCGAGGCCAGGCGTGTGGTTCCCACTGGGGTTTGCAGCTCCGCTTGCTGCGGCGCCAGCGCCTGGTGGAGCGGCACCTGCTGCGTTATCGTTTGTTTGCTCCTTCGCAGCTTCTCCGTCCTTCTCACCACTCGACGGCGGCGGTGGTTGTGGGGGCCCCGCAGGCACCGGAGCGTTATCCCCGGTGCTTGCAGGTTTCATCACGGGAGCAGTCTCCCCACCACCACCGCCGGTCGTTGGCGGACCCTGCGGCGTCATGACTGGCTTCGTCGCGCCCAGCTGTGGAATTGCGACCTTGCTGGCATCGAGCATATTCACCTCAGCATAGTTAGCAAGCAACCGGTTGTACAGCAGAACGTTGAACACCGTCACATGGTGGTTGCTAACCCCAACTTTGTTCTTGTCGCCCCCAACAAAAAAGTGCGATATCCGGTGTGAATCAAACAACGTGCCGTCATGGGCCCCTTCGTAAAACGCAACTCCATCGACGTAGACAGACCACTGATTCCAATTCATTTGCAGTATCACCTGCGACGTTTTGTTGAGTGCCCACTTAAAATTAATATCCGCTTTAGTATCAACATTATGAAGTTTGAAGCTCCACTTCCTTGCACTTGTGTACGACAGCTCAAATAGAACACTGTTGGAATCGTCGTTCATCCTTGCACCCATCAAAGGAGTGTCCTCCTCCGGCACCGCGTGGATCGCCACCGTCGCCACAAGAGTGAACTTGTTGTTCGCAAAGTAGTACGGCTGGTTCTGCCCCTTGCTGCCCACCGGCCACTCCGCCCCCGCCCCAGCGCCTTTGAACCCCACGCCCCACGCCTGCTCGCCTGCCGCCCCATTCTTCACCGTTGCGTTCACGCCGAGGTACTCGTCGTTCCATATTTTCCCAGCATCAGTTCCATCCGTTAATGCGTTGGACAAAAAGCCAACCAGCCCTTCCGTGGGAATAGGGCCATTACACATACCCTTCGCTC